AGTCCAACTCATCTGGAGAGCACCAGTCAGGAAAGATGGCTTAGGAAATGACCACACGTTAAATCTCAATAGGTACGCACAGGTATTTAAGATTCTCAAGCTCTTCAAAGGACCTTCGTGAAATCTGCTTTATTAGGTTGTTGTTCAGAAGCCTGTGGAAAAAGAGAGAGGGAAGAAAGCAACACGTCAATGCAATATTTTGGGCAAGTGGCCCACTGCAATGAAACACAGATCTGCAATTCCTGGTCAACCGACAAGTATCACAATAGAAAACCAGCTGCAAGATTTGCCCCTGAAAACTGAATTAAAAAGTCTGAGGCTCTAAGGGCACTGCCCTATGCATGATCGGTGGCAGAGGCCCTCCCCCGGGAGCCCTCCGTGAAAGACATTAGGAGGGTGAGTACCCGGAGGAGGGCCTTCTCTGCAGTGGCGCCCCACCTATGGAATGCTCTCCCCAGAGAGGTCTGCCTGGCGCCGTCGTTATTTGTTTTTTGGCGTCAGGCCAAGACTTTTTTATTTAAATGGTATTTTAATAATTGTTAATATTATTTATTGGTTTTAAAATTTTTATATGTTTTATTTAATAAATAATTTTTATTTGTTTTATATTATTAATTTTAATTTTATATTGTTATTTTTATATTGTATTGTATTTTATTGTGTTGTAAGCCGCCCCGAGGCTTCGGCAAGGGGCGGCACAGAAATGTAATAATAATAATAATAATAATAATAATAATAATAATAATAATAATAATATGAGTGTTTATTATGTTGGAAGCCGTCCCAAGGCTTATGCGAATGGGACGGCATACAAAAATTCCAAATAAATAAATAAATTCCAAAATGTTTAGAGAGAAGAAGATCCTACAACTCTAAGCATTCCCCAGCCAGCCCCGTGGCTGCACACTGGGAACTGGAGGTCCTTTTCCTGCCTAACTTGCACGGGATTGTAGGCTGCAAGAGGAGAAGAGCGATCAAGGCAGGCCGAACGGCACAGCCGGCTCGGTGGCTCCCACTTGTGTGGACCACCGATTATCTCAGGCATGACTCTCCCTGCCTGCTGGATTGTTTACCTTTTGACTATTTTCACATCTGTTGGCACAGCTTCTCTTGTCAGCCCCACAACTCACGAGAAAAGTTTCCGGGGCGGAGGGCGTAGTGAATTCCATGCTAATTTTGTAAACCATTCTGAGAGCATTAGCAAATTGAAGGTAGGGAAATGCTTTAGACAAACAAACTTTTGGCACAGTTGCTGTGCCCTGGACCACGGAAGTCCCAGCTCGTTTTGAAGAGGATGAGAAGGCCTTCTCTTGCTCCACGCAGCCGCCTCACCCAGGGCCCATCTAAGGCAAGCCCCCACCCCAAATTAAATATAGGCTTTTTCTTTTCCCCCAGAGTGTGACACTGTAAGCTGGACCATTTGCACCCCATCGTGACAGCTTGGTGGCGGAGCACACACTTGGCATACACAAGTTCTCCAGCTGGTCCCGGGAAAGAAGGTCTCTGAAGATCTAGGCTCTGGGTTCCCAGAGGGCCACGCTCCCTTTCCTGCAAGCACCAACCCCTTGGTTCTTTCCTGGCTTTTGAGAGTTTCCTCTCCATTCGAGAAAGGTGAAATGCTTCTCCTAAAGGCTTGGTTATTTGCCAAAAGAGCCTGAAGCTGAACTAGGCTGGCGTTCTCCATTCTGCAACATCAGTCCCTTGGGCTGAACGCAGTTCCACACGCCTGATCTCAAAGCTTCCCCGAGCCTGGTGCCTTCCTGATTCTTCGAACTGCAGCTCTCATCAGCCCCAGCCAGCATGGCCCATGGTCAAGGATGATGGAACTCGAAATCCCAAACAAATCGAGGCATCGAATTGCTACAGTTCTGGTGGTCCACAAAGACATTACAAAGACAACTTGGAGTTGGCAGTTTCCTACTATATTTTGCTGCACTTTTAAGGCTGCCGTCTGACTCACACACCCCTTTGGGAGGCTGCAGCGATGCCGTATGAGCTGCACCTTCTCTTGGATTTCCAGCTCTCTGCCTGGACTGGATTTATCTTCCCCAGGCTGCCATGACAACCATAGCAAAGCAGGTCAATTAAGCCAAAGGGGACCAGCCAGTATTTTAGATCATCTGCAATCAGACTGTGGAAAGAAACAATTAACCATCTGTTCCCACACAGATGTTTTAATATCCGGTGAAAATGACTCTCCACCACTGCCATTGTCACTTGAATTATGGTCCGCGCAACTCGAGTTGGTGATAACAGTCTTGGCTTCTCCATGCTGGTCTTTCTGGCCCAACCTCCCGAATCAATTGTCCTGATGATTTATTTACCCAGGTTTTTTAATTATTCTGCTCTGGTTGGAAGTCTATTCGAACTGGTTGTTTTATGCCTTTGCTGTTCTAATAATTGTTTTTGTTTTGCAACTCAGCTAACACGGGTGTCAGGGTTATTTTTGCAAGCCAACACCGAGAGTAGCAATGCGCAGCTCTATCGCGCCCATCCTCAATGGAGAAAGTGATGGAGGAAAGCCCCAGAACACGGAGGTTTAATCTGAAGCCCCATGCCCCGAATAACCGTCCCGAGAGGGGGCCGATTCCGTCTAGCATAAGAGGGCAGCTTTGAGGAGGCTGCAATGCTGGCGGGAATCAGCTTTTGTCCTCAGCTCCAACCAAGGCCTCCTCCCTGGCCTGCTCCTTGCTCCCTGCTCCAAGGCCCATTTGTGCCCCCCCCCGGGGGGGGGCAGCTGGTGTGCTCCTTTCTGTGCCAGCTGTGGGGACTTGGCCTTTGGAGACCCAGCCCCAAGGTCGCAGGGACTCAGAGCTGGGACTCAGGACCCCCAGGCCATGTCAGGAAGCCATAGGCTTGCACTTTAATTGTGTTTGTGATTTTAAGCCTCATTCTGGGCAACTTTGGGAGAGGGTAGTCCATCCATCTCATAGTCCATCTTCCCTTTCTTCTTCTGCCCTTGACCTTCCCTAGCCTGGCTGTCTTCTCCAGAGAGTCTGGCTTTCTCGTGATGTGTCCAAAGCACAACAGCCTGAGTTTCATCATTCCAGGAAAAGTTTTGGGTTGATTTGATCAGGACTGTCTTTCTGCCAATCCCAGTTTTTTGCAAAACTCCCATCCAGCACCATGTTCTGAATACCTTCCACTTCTCTTTTTCCCCAGGTATCACCTACTCCCTTATCTGCAGAAGTCTGTTCTTAGGGCAATCACCCTGCTGCAGTTACCTGCTGACCTTTCCTGTAAGGACCAGGAAGGGAAAAGCAATGAAGCTACCAAGAAGCTTGGAAGGAATCTTCAACGGTTTGGGCCTAAGGACCACATCCGGTGTAGGCAGGGGCCTGCACATGTGCTTAAATCCACCCACTTGATGAGGGGTATTTGGGGGTAGCAGCAAGCATGTGTCCAGAGAGGTACGTGACCCATGGGTTACCTGCCCCTGAATGAATTTAATCAGCATTCTGATTAAAGAATTCTTCACTAAAGAATGATATGAGAAATTCTGGGTGTGTTAAGACAGGAATGTTTTGTGCAATCCTATGCATGTCAAGAGAAGAAAATTTCTACACTCCTATGCATGTTTGGGCAGATAAAAACCCAATGCTGGGGATGCACAGAACTGCACCTTTGGTTAATTTAGGGCACTATCCAATGAGGCTGCCCTTAAACCCCTAAATTTTGAGGGTTTTGAGTATCCAGCAGGGGGCAAGTGGACAATTTTGCCCATCCGTGTCTTTTGCCTTCGCTCATGAGAAGGGGGGGATGATGCACGTCTAGGCTTCCTTGCTCCCCAGCAGAGCCTCATTCGCTCCTCCCTGCTCACCAAGCATGGCTTTGCAGCTGGAGCTGGTGTGGAAAGAAACACGGCACGCCTGGCTTCCCACTCTGACCTTGGTGTGATTTCACTGGGATTCCAAACCACCCTCTGTGCCCCTTCGAGTCCGCACACAAGATTATACTGGCGAGGCCGCGGAAAGCGTAAGGGCTCATTCGGTCGGATACACGCTGTGGGAGCCACTCTGGAAGGGTCAAGAAAAGATGGCTGCCTGGAACCACCGGTACTTCAGCTCTTTGGCTGAGATGGGAAGCCCTTTGCAAAACGATCTCCCGCTGACTGATCCAGGCACCTTTTGGATGCCGTGGGGTCATGCCTAGATGCAAAAGCTCAGTGGGCTGGCTTTACACCCCCACTCGTGCTGTATCCTGAAAAGACCTCCACATGGAGAGCTTTAATAGGATCCAGGGGTTCTGAAGCCAAGCGCATGAGCTGTTCAGATCTGGGATCCAGCTCAAATTGAGATTTGTCCAAAGACAATGGAGCAGGTGATACGGCTTACAGGGAAAGCGCCGAACGCCTTGACAACCGTCCAGTGCAGTGTTCGTTCACTGACCCTCTGTGTGTGAGCCAAGCCAATCAAAACCGTCCCGCAAGGGGGCTGATTCCTGCCAGATTTGGCTCAAACAGCCGACGCAGCGCCTCCCTTTTCGCAATCCCAGTTGCATAAAACTCCAAGGGGATGAAGGCACTTTACTTACAGTGTGTGGAGGTTCTTCACATTCCGGAAGGCTCCGGGCTCAACATGTCTGATGCGGTTGAAGCGCAGGTCCCTGGAATAAAGGAGAGACTCCTCAGTCTGCTGGCCGCAGCGGGGTTCCAAGGCTGCGGCAGCGGGGGACTAAACGTGGAGGTTTGCCAGGCATGTGAGGTCCGAGGGCGTCTGCCAAATGCCGTCTGGAGCAAAGCATCAAGGCATGGTCTTCCGAAGGGCTTCCTCCGGACAGCCTGGCTTATTTGGCTGTCCAGTTTAAACGGAGGGATCTAGTTAGACACTGGGCTGCTATTCTGCATTCTCCCCTTTAATGAACTTTCAGCACGGAGAAATGGGAGGTGGAGAAAGCCCTGGGAAAATGCAGGTGCACACCAGGTGGAAGACGATGCCCTGCAGAACTCCCACAACGTTTTGTGAATGGGGAAGGGTGGAGGGACCCTAACAGTCCAGCTGCACATCCAGCATTAGTCTAACCTGTGTTCTATTCATTTCAACAAGTCTGATCTAACTGGGACAAACACTGGCCTGGAAGGCATGCCGGCTGCCCGCCTGTGCAAATATGACCCCAGCATGGATCAGCTACTGTGATTTGCGGCCAGGCTGCCTTATGTGCCCCGGAACACAATGGCTGATGCTCAAAGTTCTTCCAGGCAAAGCTTTTTTCCTGCAATCACCTTGCCTCATTTGCGGAATGTTACCCGGGGGGGGGGGGGGGGAAGTCTTCCACAGGTAACCCTCCTGTTTTCCCACCATGTCATCCTTTTCTTGCTGAAGAATTTATTTATTTATTTATTCACATATAATCTGTCAAACAGCTCAAATGAGCTTCCTAGGCAGTATACAGGAATAAAATTGCAGCCAACAATTTACCAACAGAAATAACTAATTAAAAACAATACTAACATAGCCAGGCACTAGAAAACACGCATGAGGTTTCAGCCTTAAGGCCCCCTTCCTAGATAGCCTTCCCAGTCGGGTGCCTTGCAAATGCCTTGCACTGCTACTCCCATCAGCCCCAGCCAGTGCCCAAATAGGCAGAGAAGACAGGACCTCTTGCCTAAAGACCCGGAGGGCAGCTAGACACTGACACTCGGTCCATTGCTCCATACAAGCATTGACTTAACGTTTAGTGTAACTGCTCTGCAATTCTGGGCCTTCCTAGAAGTGGCCACGTGTATTCTTTCGCTTGCAAAGGACACGAGCAACATTTCTCTATTCTATCCCAACAGTTTCATGCTCTGCAGCGGCTTCTACCCCTCTGGAAAGTTAGAAGAATGAATTTGCTAAGGGAGGAGTTGAAGGCCCTGCTTCCGACGCGCGCGGAAGGTCCGATCCCCAACATCCCCGGGAGAGGCAGCGAAAACGCGTGAAGGGCAGGAGCCATGCGCCTGCACGGACCCCGCACAAGGCCCCTTCCTGAGCTCCCGAAGCGGTTTGCGCCCACCTTGACACTCCAGCCGCGGTTAAATCTTAAAGGCTGCTTTTATGTGCCTTTGCGCTTTAAAATCAGATCTGCAGCATTCCCGAACCCCTTTCTCAGGAAGCATCAGCACCCCAAGCTTCGCAGCAGCGCTGCTCCCAAGAGGCAGGAACTGCGCGCACCCGGGGCAGCCGCTGCTTTCAGCCCTGAACTGGGCGGGCAGCGGCGACTGGCCTGATTGTTGTGCCAAACCCCTGTAATCAGCGCAGCTGCCCCTCTGCAGAGCTCTCACGTTCTTTTGCCCGTGTTCCCCTTATTTCGTCAGCACCTGCCCTGCTGCTACGACACGAGTCAGAACTTCTAAATCACTCCGTGCATGCTCTGGAAGTTGGCGGCTGGTTAGCAATGTTTGCAAAGTTTGTGTCTGCAGAGGGCACCCGAGGGCTCAGTCTAATCAACCGCCGAGGCTCGTAAGGAAATCCGTCTCCGTGTGAATCCGAGCATGCAACAGGCATTTCGGGATTCCCGGGCACATCCGACGCCGCGGGAGCCGCAAAGGCCGACGCGGGCCGCTCCTGCGCAGCGCAGCGCAGCGCAAACGAGGCAGCGGGCGGCAGATCCTCGCTTCCCGCGATGCTTCGGCCAGGAGAAGGGGCGGAGCTCTGGACGGGCAGCCCGCCCAGGGAACTCATTTACATCTGGCCGCGACCATCATGCCTTGCGCCCAAGACGGAGAATTTCGCCAGACTTTGGCTCGTCTTGTGTGCGGTCGCGCTGGCCTCCAGGCTCGCGACGTGGGAAAGCGTTGTGATGAGTGTCAGGGCTCGTGCCGAAACCTCAAAGCACCGCCCGGTCTAGGGAAACCCTAAGCGCACCGATGGGCGCCCGTATTGGAGCTGGCGTCGCTGCGCTTGCCTGGTATTGCTAGTTGCGAAGTCGCGTCCAAGTTCAACGACCCAAATGGACCTTAGGTTTTATTTCCTTCGCCAGTGGATCAATTAGCTCTCTGTCTTGTACCTTTCGGTATAGCTCAACAATTTTTGGAGGCTCTGGAGCAAGAGCCAATCTTCCCCGGTGAAAGAAAGAGGAGAAGATGAAAAAAGCTTCTTTTCTTCGGCGGGACTGTTCTTTATACCAAGTTGAACATACATGTTAATGCTGTATTTGTTTCGCATGTGAGAACAGACAACGCGCATCTCCTAAGCAATTTTGCACATTAATCTGCTCTCTTCAGGGAAATTAGAGAGTGTTAAGTTCATCTCCGAGGTGGCGTCTGTGTTCAGGTAGCCTAACTGGGTTTTTACTCTCTGCAACAAAGACCCTTTCTGCAGTTAGAAGGGTAATTCGGTTGGCAAGTGAAAGGGAGAGAAAGAGGGCCTCGTCTTCAGTGGCCCCGGTTTTTGGAATGTGTTACCCGCAGGGTCTGGAGCCATTTATTGGTGATACTTACACTTTTTTTCCTCCCAAGAAACTCAAGACAGCTTACGCAACACTCCTGCTGCTCGCAGCTTTATTTCCACAACAACCCTGCGCAGTAGAGTTTGTCACTGGCCCAAAGCCGGCTCCAAGGTTGAGCAGGGCCTAGAACCCAGACCTCCTGCACGATTAACCAGTACACCACACTGGCTGCCTGACATTAAGATAAGCCTTAAAAGACCAACCTTTTTGTTTCCTTCTCCTGAAATATTTTTTAACCCATCATCGCCATGCACTGAAAAGACTGTTGATTATTTTTAGTTGCAATTCTTGATTGGACTTTTGTGTATTGGAGGGCCAAAACTTTGTATCTTCCTTGACGCCCAAAGCAGTAAAAGAGGAAGAGGAGGGGAGGAGGACGGGGGACTGGAAGACTGTTTTCTATTAAAAGGTAATGGCTTCCCCATGACATTAAAGTCCAGTCATGTCTGACTCTTGTTTCCTAGCCAAGGACTCGAACTGTCGACCTTTCGATCAACCAGCCCAGCAGCTCAGCAGTTTAAACCACTCCACTTAAAATCCCCCACCTGATTCCAAGCTGATTACTTCACATATACTCTTGGAAGCTGCTGGGGGGGGGGGGGCGGAGATTACTCATCTGGGCAGCCTAAAAATAATTGGAACAAATGAAGGAGAGCAAGGTGAGCCGGAGTGCAACAGTTTGTTTAGGAGATCGCATGGCTGGCGGGAACCCGAGCAGAGGAACAAAGCACTCCTGGTGGGGGTGGGGGTGGGGCGAAGGATCCCATGCAACCTTTCCTGGGAGGGGAGCCAGAGGCGAGTGTCTGATCCCGTTCCTAGCAGCATGTGAAAAGGGCAACATGGCTGTAGGGCATGCGAGTCGGGAGCAAGTCCTTTCGCTCCCCTGTTGCTGGAGGGGCGACTTTGCATTGCAGATGGCAGGCCCAGAGGCCGCGTTAGGGGGTGGGCCGCTAGGGCTGGTGCCCCGAGTCTCTGGGATGCCACCTCCGCTTGCTGTTCAGGGGAAGACACTGGAATAGTGTCCAAGCGAGCAATTGATACAGGCAGGATAATCTGTTGCTTCTTGCACGGTTTCTCCCTGAACCGTTTTATTTATTTGGCGCTATGCCAAAGCTGAGTTTTAGTCTCAGCCTTAAACTAGCTAGCTGCACACGCACACAAATACTACACCTAGAAGTAACTGTGTCGTTTTGGCTTGTATGGATTTGTTTCTTTCTTGTGGGGGGAGGTTTGGCTGTGAACTAAGTCCCAAAGGGCAATGACTTCATAGAGTTCCTCTCCTAGGGGGATTTTGTCATCCTTTCATATTCAGCCCTGTCTGAGAAGTGCAGAATGCAATGCTTTGGATGGAATCCTGCACAGGTTTAGATCGAAAAAAGACCCACATTTCGCAGCTTGCCCTGGCCACATATCAGCAAATTGAATTCAGGAAACGCCATATTAAAATGTTCTTCCAAAGTTGTTACGTGCTGTCACGTTTGTCTCCAGTTTAAGGCATCCCTATGACTGAAAGCCCTCCAAAATTTCCTTTCCATAACAACCCTGCTCAACTCTAGTAAATCCAGGGCTCCAGCTTCCTTTCTGGAGTCCATCCATCTTCTGATCTGTTCTTCCCATCCTTTTTCTGCCTTTGACTTTCCTTAGCACGATCGACTTCTACAGAGTTCTACCTTCTCACAATGCATTCAAAGTATGACGTCAGTTTTTAGTTTTATTTACTTTTTCTTCCAGGGCAAGATCTGGTTAGTCTTTGCCAACTCCGCTTGAGACAAATCCTGCCGATCTACGCAGAAAATAATACTTATGCATATATAATACCGACTTTTTTTTTCCTCTGCATTTACCATAAAAGTATACTACTACTTTCGACCACACCTTTTCTCCTACTTGTAATGGACACAAGCCAGTTTTAAAGAATTCCATACCATGAAACCCTCTTAGCAACAATCTTGGCTAATAGGAGTCAAGAAACACGTTGTGAATGTGTTTAAAACTAACGCGCAAAGAACTAGCATTTTTAAATCTGTTTTTTAACTTGGAAAGAATAGCCCTGCTAAGGCAGGGCCTCAAAAAATTGGTGAAAAACTCATAAATGTTCCTCTCCACGGAA